ATGATGTGGACGTTGTCTCTTGGTTGACTGTGTTGCAGCGCTTGCATGGCCGTTTTCGAGTCCGTGTGAATTATGATGGACTTGTTGTGTTGTGTTGCAGCGTGTTGTAGGGCCTTTGAGATTGCTACCAACTCTGTTTGTAGGGTGGAGCAGTCATTAGAAAGTCTCCATCGGAGGGTCTGACCTTGGGTGTAGAAGGCCGCTCCGGATCTATGATGTTTTGGGTCCACCGAGCCGTCTGTGAAATATGATGCTGCATCAGCCAGTGTCTCGGTGGCTATGGCTTCCAGAGTTATTCTTTTGAGGTCCTCCTTCTGGAGGTTGGCTTTGCTATCACCTAGTTCGGTAATTTTGAATGTAGCTCGTGGAGGGCTCCATGGTGGAGGAACTACGTAACCATTGTTTCGAATGTCTTCGTTGTTCTTGACGAGTGTTTCTGCTTGCAGGTGTCGCATGACCTCGCTTGCCTCGTGCGACCAGGTGGCCCCTCGCACTCTGTGGTCGAGGTGGAGGGAGGCACTGATTCGCGTTTTGACAGCTGTGGGCTTATCTGATCTACAGATTTTGGCGAGGAGACCGGCTGTCACCTGCTTGACTCGTACTGCCAGGGGTGGTAGTTCAGTTTCCATTTGCAAATTGCAAATTCTGGTCCACATGGGTGCTCCGAGCATGGTCCTGAGAGCATTATTTTGGATAACGTCTAGCTTAGCTATCTGGTCTTCTCTCAGTCCAATGAGTGCTGGAGCACTGTAATCTACCAGCGATCTGATGGCGGCAGTGTAGTAGACTTTGAGCACATGTATGTTCGCTCCTGCAGTTGTGCTGGTGAGCGACCTCATTATATTGTGTCTGCTCTTCGTCCTGTGCCTGAGATACTCGAGTTGCGGCTTGAAAGTGAGTTTCTGGTCGAACCAGAATCCAAGACACTGGTGGGTGTTGGTCCAGACTACCGGCGTGTTTTGTATGGAGAGCATCATGTCTGGTGTGTCTGTGCAGATGGCCATCGCTTTCGACTCGGCTGGATTTATCGTGAGTCCAAGTCTGTTGCACTCCTCTTCTATAAGTTGGAGTGCGTGTTGCGTGTTGGCTGGTCTGTTTGATCCTCTTACTATGAACTGTAAGTCGTCTGCATAGTATAGGAGCTTGGCTGTTTGTCTGAAAGGAAGTCTGACAAGATTTTCCATCAGGACATTGAACAGCGTTGGACTGAGGAGGCCTTCTTGTGGGGTTCTGTTTTCATGGACCCTGAAGCTTGAGGTTGCTCCCTGAAAGCCTACTCTTATTTCTCTCTGTGTGAGGTAGTTCTGGATCCACCCCAGCAACCTTCCTTTGACGCCTTTTTCAGCGAGCGTCGTTATAATGGCCAGTGGATTTGCTAGTTCGAAGGCCTTCTCCAGGTCGAGGAAGACCACCAAAGCTGGTTTATTGTCCACTGTGCTGAGTATCTCAGTGATGTTGTTGCCTGTGCCGGTGTTCTCGGTGAAAGCAAAAATGTGAGGGTGTGGGCTGCCTACTTTCCACTTGAGTCTGTTGAGAGCCATTCTTTCTCCCGTCTTCGCTATGCAGCTGAGAAGGGAGGTGGGTCTCGGTTTGTCTGGTTCTCTGGGCTTCGGAATGGGCTGTATATCTGCCTTCTTCCATTCCGGTGGAAATCTTTGTGCTGTCCACGATGCATTGATGACTTGTAGCAAAGCCTCGTGCCCGGCTTCTCCAGCATGGGAAAGCATGGAGTAGGTTATCCTGTCGGCCCCTGATGCTGTGTCCTTGCTTCGTTTTATCGACTTCTGGAGTTCTTGCTGGTTGAAGGGTCTATCGGTATCATCTTTACTGTTGCAGGCCTCTTCGATCATCTGGAGTCTGACCTGTCACAGACACCGTTGTGTCTCCTCCGCCTGTCTCGGGAGGTTTTTCGTTGCTGCTCGGTCAGAGAACAGTTTTGCAAGTCTCTCGGCTTCCTCTTCTGGGTTGGGATGGGTTTGCGGTGGTGGTGCTGCCTTCCCAGATGCCCTTTGGATCTGGGCCCACATTTTGCCGAGGGAAGTGTGCTCGTTCACTTGAGCCAGCTTACGCTTTTGATTTCTTCCTTCTCTTCCCTGGTATCCTTGACTATGACTTGCAGGAGATGTCTGTTTGTTTCCGTGGGATGTCTTCTGTAGTTTCTTCTGGCCATGTTCACTCTGTAGTCGAGTTCTTTCACCCTGGGACAGTAGTACCAGTAATCCTTGTACTGTCTTGATGTAGGTTTTGTTTGGAATAGCCTCTTCTGCCGCTTGGTGAAACGCCTCAACCAATTGTTGGTGGAGGGTTTTCTCGTCCACGGGTGCTGCACCGGCCGGCTGTGTTGGCGCGCCACTTAGCCAGGTGTTTCTTATAGAGTTCCCAGTCTGCCTTTTGGGTATTGTATCTCCATCTCGGCGGGGGTGGAGTGGGGAGTTTGTTCACCTTCAGTGTTGTTAGGGTGGCAAAGTGGTCGCTGATCAGCGATGGGTGTAGCTGCCAGGAGGCCGAAGACTGTAGTACACTGGAGACGAAGGTGAGATCTAGCCTTCCTCCCCTAATGTGGGTGGGCTCTCTCCGGTGTTCAGGAAGCTGATGTCGGGTGTGTCTTGAAAGGTGGTGCATAGGTGTAGGCCGTCTTCATTTGTGGGGTTTATCGAGCTTAGGAAGGGATGATGTACATTGAAATCCCCTCCTATGAGTGTGGCGTGGTCAGCGGTTGAAGCGAATAATTGAGTCACCTCCAGTGAGCCCCTTAGGTTCTTGTATATGTTGTGAACAGTTAATTCCCGTTCTTGGAGGGTTACTTTGACGTCCTGTATCTCAGTGTTTTCCCCACATGGAAATTGCTGCATAACCTCGGAGGAGGGTATGCTTGACTTGACCAAGATCATACATCCTCTTGTTGACGCCTGCGTGAAATGCCTCCTGTATGTCTTGTAACCACTGAAATTGAAACAGTGGTGTTCTTGTAGAAGTGTTTCTTGTGGGACTGAATTTTGTTGACAATATTCTGAATACTCTCCATTGAATTTTGGACAAGATTTGGCGAAGACTTCACGACGTATAATACTTGCTAGTCCTCACCATCAAGCAGGCATATTTTTATCGGCATTCCAGCAGTGCTTGCTGGTACTGTGTTACTCTAGCTCTGGAAAGTATTTGAGACTTCTGCTCTTGAAACTAGAAGCATGGAAACAAAGTGATTTATCCTTATTCAAGTAACTCAGTTGCTGGACTCTCGTCAGATAGATATTTTTCAATGCAGACAACTGGAAGTCAGGTGTAGACTTATCATTGTCAAGGATTTCTCGTATGCACAAACATAGCTCAGCAAATACAATGTTACATTCATCAGCTATGGGATCAGTATTTTTGAGATGTACTAGGGCTGTCACGATTATAAAACGCCACCAGACAATTAGGGTGATATTTTTGCCTCAAGAGCTATAACATCTCACTGACTCAGCTTTGTCATTATCCTTTCATCTTGTAGGTTCTATGCACATTTATTCATTTGTGAATTAATTTTCATTGAGAAAGCATTGCGTAACGGCTTGTCTCTCGTTGCAGGTTGTTCACAGAAAAAGCAGGTATCATAATAACCTGACTTTGACATTTTTGTACGGGTGAATTTCTCTGGTACTTCTGCAGCTTCACTGCTTTTGTACTTTGACACCCGTTTAAAGTTCTTTTCATTGAACTTTGAAGCACAGAGTCTATAGAACTTTGCACGTCTTCGATGAATGTTGCTTCGAGACCATCACCTTCGCCAAGCCAATTGAGTTCTACTCTGGATAGCAATTGACCCAGCTTGTGAAATTCCACAAAGCCTTTACTAGTGTTTTATATCCTTGCCACCAAATCTATCGGCGTAGTCAGCTGGTCATGACAAGTCCTTCTCTCCGCCACAAAAGATACATTTGTTTCAATCAACGTGAGATGGGAGAACAGGTGTCACTTCACCCTTCACTAATTTCAGTCGCTTGTCCATCTTCTTTGAATTGGTTCGTAATTACCTGAAGAACGAGGAAAACAATGTACATAACATAACATAGCAGTGATTAACAACATATATATTTTATTGTCGTTGGTCAGTTCCATTACACTGATAACAACGACAGTTATTTGCAACACGTTTCTGCTCCAATTATGTGCTAAAAAAATAATAATAATTATATATATAATATATATATATTTATATATATATATATATATATATATATATATATATATATATATATATATATATATATATATATATATATATATATATATATGTACATAATTTGGTTAATCATTTAAACGAATGGCGGCCATCTTGTAAAACCATATGACTGGCACCACCAATATGAAAAATATTGGCTTTATTGTATTCCTTGACCCTAAAAACCTGTATATTAACACAAAAAAGTAAGTCTGTAACTCACATATTAAGCCAAATATTGCCGATCACATTTGGACGAAGCGGCCATTTTTCAAAATGGCCACCACCGCTGTCCTCACCCCAATCTGGTTCGGGTACAATCTTCAAACTGACACGTTTTGGGTCATAGTATCTGTATACCAAGTCTTATACTTGTATCAAAAAGTGCAGGATTTTGTCCTAATCCTCCGGACTAGAAATATCATACTGTGATGTACAATCAAAGACAAAAGTCACGTCGCGGTTTTGTACGAAGATTAAATATAACTCGTCAAACATTATGAGAGCTCTACCACAGTTACAGAGCTCAACAACAATTTAGCCCTCCTGCATATGTTTTCACCAAATTTCACGAAACGACTTTTGTCTTTCATTGTACACAGGTAGCGTACACTGAGGGTGATGTGGAAGAAAAGACATGTACTATTGAACAACACAAACACAACACAAACAGGAAGTAGGATGAAAAAGGTAAGTCTAACAGATATTTGATTGGTTATGTAACGTTATGTCACTTCCTAGTAGAGCATAGCGTTGCTGGTGAGGCTTGGTTAACATGTGGTGTGTCCCCCCTCAGGTATACTTCCAGCGGGTGTTGTCATCTCGCACCAGCAAGCAAGCTGAGGTCCTCTCCTACCTGGGAGCCATTGGGTGCATCACGATGGCTGTGCCCGCCTGCATCATCGGCGCCATTGCTAAGGCTACCGGTAAGTACCTCAGATCTTGCTGTTGTCGGTTAAAAAGTGGATGTAATCTTGAATGATTACAAGAAAAGTTAAGAAACATATTCACTATTCAGTGAACATCAGAATGACAGTTACTGCACCACGGCAAATGAAAAAAAAAATGAAAAACAGTAAATATACCCTTTTATTACTTTATCTTCACTGAAAGATTAACCAAATGAGCTGTCGCTTATTTATTTCACCTTTGTATGTCTGCACACGCTCACTCTTATTCCCTGTTTTAATTTTCCCGATACTCAGCTGAGAAGCTTGTGTTAGCTTGTGTCAGAATGTTTGTCACCTGCTGTAATTATTTAAATTTGTATTGGTATTTTTATGGGTTCACTCAGTACCGGATTAACGATGAGGCACTTGAGGCACTGGCCTCTAAGGGGCCACCAAATCCAAACATTCTCGAAGTTGAAGCATATAAAACATGAACTTCGTTCAACGATGTCCTAGCAACATCTTAATTTTCTGTCTCTTATGAAAATTGAATGTGTTATTTTGCAGAAGCTTAATATTGATGAAATCATTGATAAATTTTGGCATATTTTGTTCTTGCTATATATATATATATATATATATATATATATATATATATATATATATATATATATATATATATATATATATATATATATATATATATATATATATATATATATATATATATATATATCTTGATATAAAATCACACGGGAAAAGCAACGGAGCACCTTAGCTTTCGTCTTTTATTCCGAAGACATCTTCAAGAGGCCTCTGAAGATGTTTTGGAACAAAGGCAACTAAGAATAACTCCATTCATTTCCACTACATATTATTTATCAAACTATCTTATCCACGTTTTCATTGTGGATCACCATGAAATATATATACATATATATATATATATATATATATATATATATATATATATATATATATATATATATATATATATATATATATATATATATATATATATATATATATATATATATATATATATATGTAATATCCAGAAATTTCAGAGTAATTTCAAATGCCCCGCCATGAGTGATACTGAGCGTTCAAGGTCATCTGAGGGGAGGGAGCGCTGCCTGCTCGTAGCGAGAGACTGCGGAACTAGGCCTATATGATATTAAATGTAATTTACCGAATTAATAATGATGCGATTCATGAAGTTAAGGGACTATTATTGAATTTGAAATTATTATAGATCGTTTAGCAGTCTGAATAATGTTACGGGTGTCCCAAGGAGTTATTAGTTAGGCGGGAAATATGTCACGTGGGCCCTGAGTAGCATGCTTGAGGAGACACGCGACACTTCAAGCTAGAGCCCGAGTCGATATTCCACACAGACAAGACGTTCCGCGCGTCCATCAGAAATAGTCACGTGGCCTAGTCACCTGTGCTGCGCTATTGCAGTATAACAAGGTTTCCGTCAGAACCCACTTGATTGGAGTTGACCGGAGTTGATTGGAGTTGACTGGAGTTGACCGGAGTTGACCGGAGTTGACTGCGAGAGATTGACTGCCGTTGATGATTGAGGGTGGCGATTGTCGCCATTGGACCGATCAGTGTAGGCCTGTCACTGTTTAGCGGGGTAGCAAAGGATCTCTTGAGTGAACGAGTGCTCCCGACAACTAAAACGACACGGGACCAGCATCGGCAGTGGGTGATCAGTTCTTACCACTCCGGTGCACAACACCACGTGTCCTCGGTCAGCTAGTGAAACCCTCTTGCTAACGGGAAGCTAAAGTTTCTCTCAACTGCACAAGGTCTGATTGGCTCACTCGCTTCCTGCCCATGGACGCACTGGGAGTACACTGAGGCTATCTGAGTATATTAATGGTCACACACTGAGACCGTGAGTCTAGGACTCTAGGAGATACCTAGAGGAACATTTTATCTTCCTTATTACGGGTGTAGTTAACACCATTCCTCAGACTGATATTATCTTGACGTGTGTAGTTTAATATTTCTTAAATAATTTTGATAGTAATGTTTTTTTGAATGTTTGTGCCATTAAGTGGAGCCAGAGTGATACTGTGATTTGATTCTTTTAATGCCTCTAATTGTTCTTCATAATTCTGATCTCAGGTATAACCTTGTTCCCCAGAGTAGTGGTTAGGTTAGGTTAGGAAGTGTACATCTGTTGAGGTGCTATAATTTTGTTGAGTGCCCTTAAGGCCTATTCATTGTAGAGTATTTAATTCCTTATTTTTTATTACCATTCCTCAGTGACTGATATTATTTTGTGAAAGCCCGTAAGGCCTGTTCATGTGTGCAATTAACATTTCTTAATACTTCAAATTTATTGTTGCCTGTGTTTCTAATAATTTCTATGTCATGTATAACTTTTATTCCCCAGAGTAGTGTTTAAAGTTTAAGTTAAGAGGTGCGCATATTGGTGTACCATTATTGATTGTGTTTGTAGTGTTGGAGGGAATATAAGTGTCTAAATTTTACAGTGTGTCTCATTCATCCCAGTCACAGACGCTATCCTTCCACGGGTCACGGACAGTTCATTTTGTGTAGTAGATTTAAGTGTTCTTGTGCTGGTTCGGGATTTTTCTCAAAGGGGCGCTTCCACTGCCTTTACCATCTATTAAATTTTAATAAACCCCAAGTCAAGTGAGAAATTAAAGTCCAGCAAATTCCGACTGGTTACATATATATATATATATATATATATATATATATATATGTATATATGTACCTTGAGGGTAGGGGGCCCCAAGTTGATCTGTGCCTCAGGCCCCTATTAAGCTTAATCCGGCCCTGGTTCACTCATTATCACCAGGATCAGTGTTGAGCTGACCATCAGAGTTTAATTAACTCTGTATCTCTGCATGACGCCGCCAGCGAGTGACTCACTGCCTGATTGTTGGGCTAAACGTGTCATACTCATTGTGTCACTCATTCAGTCATTGATAGAAAACGAATTATTCCTACAGTAGTACAACGTACGAGTAGCTCGTAGTAGTTGTAAAATATTTCAGTATTACATCTACAGTTATACTTTGTTAATAGATAAGTGTGTATAAGTGTACTGTACCTACGGTCATATTAAGTGTGTGATGGTAGATACGTATACCTGTGGTTATACTAAGTCAGTTTTAGTTAAAGAAAATAATCACTAAGTGACGTATAGGAAACAGATTCTCGTTATGTCAGTTATACTTGGTAAAGCGAGTTTGTATTAGCAATGAAATCAAGCTTAAGCTCAATTATATCAGATTATGCAAACTATGATGAAGAGTCATTATTTTTGTTTTTAGTGTAAAATCTTCTTCCTCGTAAAGTTATCTGTTCTGTCATTTACAATATTGGCAACACATATGTTTTAATACAATTGTGGAATCAAAGGCATTTCAGTATTACATCTACAGTTATACTTTGTTAATAGATAAGTGTGTATAAGTGTACTGTACCTACGGTCATATTAAGTGTGTGATGGTAGATACGTATACCTGTGGTTATACTAAGTCAGTTTTAGTTAAAGAAAATAATCACTAAGTGACGTATAGGAAACAGATTCTCGTTATGTCAGTTATACTTGGTAAAGCGAGTTTGTATTAGCAATGAAATCAAGCTTAAGCTCAATTATATCAGATTATGCAAACTATGATGAAGAGTCATTATTTTTGTTTTTAGTGTAAAATCTTCTTCCTCGTAAAGTTATCTGTTCTGTCATTTACAATATTGGCAACACATATGTTTTAATACAATTGTGGAATCAAAGGCATTTCGTCTTATTAACTCTCCTCCTTTAGTCGACAATCTCTCTTCCCTTTCTCTTCGCCGCAATGTTGCTTCACTCTCTCTCTTTTACAGGTACTTTAACGGGCAATGTTCGGTGGATTTGGCATCCTATGTACCGCCGGCAAGGCGTCGTAACACACGTCTTGCCCGCGGTGCCCACCGTTTCACTGTGGATGTCGGTCACACTATAAGGGCCTGCGCTGCCACCATTATATAAGGGACTGTGTGTCAGTAACAATTCTTTTTACTCTAATACTTATTACCATTGGTAGCGTGACGAGAGGAGGCTCGTGGGTATATGTAATGATAGTATCAAGTAATAGGGAAGAAATAGCGGTGGATACTGTAGGTAAGTAATAGACGCAATATACAAATACAAAATTTATTTAAACATTAATATGGAGGTGGGAGAAAGAATATATATGTACCAACAGACGAAATCTGGTACTATGCCCTCAGGCTCAACATACTCACACCACTACTGGGTGGACATACTCAATAACACTCACACCACTACTGGGTGAACATACTCAATAACACTCACACCACTATTGGATGGACATACTCAATAGCACATAACTCTTATTAGTCACTTAGCACCATAAAGACCAGGGGCAACTGCCACTACAACACTCAGTCGTCAGGAGTGATACTCAAGCAACCGCCATGGGGTCCTGCCATCATGGGGTACTTTCCGACGAACTCTGAAGATCTCAGTGGATTAACCCCACCACACAAATAGCCCTATTGAGTTAGACACTCATCCACCAATGATGGGGGCTGGTAGTGGTGTGTGGCTTGGTGATCCGGGGTCACCTCGCAGGCCTAGTGTTAGGGCCAGACGAGCCAGCTATGGGGGCCATAGGTAGTCTGAAGTGTCTGACGGTCGGGTCTCACGAAGGTAACTGATCCTACTGGACCTCGGACATCTTCCCAAACATAGTGGATACAACATCCACCCTACAGACACGGCCTAGGCTGCGTTAGGGACCTGTATGGATGAAGGGGCGAGCACTTACTAACAGTGACAACGACATCACATTTCAGGGGACGTTAAAGACGTAAATATGACTTCACTCAGAGCATATCAACTACGTTACTGTAACACTTGCACAATCAACTATTAATTGGGTCAAATCACTTAAAGAAGGGCGAATTACAACACAAAGTGGAGTGGCCTACTAACAGTTGACATGCCCGTGGCACCCTACTTCTATTTCGATGAATTAATTTACTGTACACTCTGACATTGAAACTGAGACTATGAACTCAGTTTCATTCCCTACTATTATCCTCACTAACAATGCTCTGACTGAGCTATCAAAAGCAAAATTAAATTGATTACAAAGGGTTGGATGGCAACAGGTCCCAACATACAGCGTCTTGCTACGAAATCCGCGGATTATATTCAAAGTTCCCTTTAGACAAAGACGGCCTATCGATGACATCATCAAGGAAACAGAGAAAACGGGGGACGTTTCCACTGGGGGACTCGGAAGGTTTTGTGGACGTTTGAGCGTAATATGAATCCTTAAGGTTTTCAGGTTAGCCGTCATCACGATCATGACAACACGATAATAACCCGTTATAGTACCTCCTTCTCTCCTCACACAGGCAAACTGTGGAATGCTCTGCCTTCTTCTGTGTTTCCATGCTCTTACAATCTGTCTCACTTTAAAAAGCTGGTTTTCCGGCATCTTCGTGGTGTAGATTAATACAGTATAACCTTTTTTTTCTATATTTACAATTTCTTTAACTTTTTTTTTTATTTCGCCCCCCAGGCTCCGTTGTGGGTCGTTTGACCTGTGCCCTGGTGGGCTAATTCCCGTAAAAAAAAAATGCGTGCGTCAGTATTCTGCACAGCTTTACCCCTTTACCTTACAATCACTTGTGACTATTTTTGTTTGTTGACAGATTGGCAAGAGACAGGCTACGGGAAGGATGTCGCAGATAAAGACCAGAAGTTGATTCTTCCTCTCGTAATGCAGTACCTCACACCTGGGGTAAGTGGGAACCCTCTTGCATTAGCATTACAGTACATCACACACAAAGGTAATCAGTATCCCTTTACACGCAATATTACGGACCTGAGTATTGGTACTGTCCACCCAATAACGCAGTACCCCACACTTAACCCACGTCATGTAGTACCATATAATGTGAGATGGGTGGGAATCCCATGGTATGCAATACCTCTCACCTGAAAGTAGGTGGTGATCTTTGGCGTGTATTAAATTATATCCAGATGAATGACAAACATTTTGTTTACGTAGTTAAACCACAATACATATACCAATTTGCCATGAATATAACAGGGGTAACTGTAGCTCACTTCATGTGACCCTCACAAAAAGCAAGAAATGACAATTACTAAATATGTTACAAAGTATTATTCTTGTCGACCAAACTTAATATGTTGCAAAGTCTAACTCATGTTGGGAAAATTGAATATTTTACATAGTATAACACTCATGGGGAATATTTATCATAAGAAAATAAAGCTTTAGTTATGAAAATTATAAGATATAAAGCTGCATGCAGCTGTCATAGGGAATATGCCTGGTCTAATCCTCATTATACGACATACCGACTGTAACCTATTAGAGGAATATCTTGAAGTGGATATAATAGGACTAATCAAAACGATATACGGAAAGCCGATTGCGGGTGATACGAGGCACTGTACAACTTCGGAGAAGTGTTCCATAGCAAATACGATTCCCCTAATTTCTAAGACTCCTGCTACCGCCCAGGTCTTGCTTTAATAGTAATTTGTCAATCACAGCATCAGTTTGATGTAATGCCAAGTGATAATTGACAGTCATATGGTAATGATGAGATGTACAATCGCAGTCAAAAGTAGTATTCTACTCCACCACCTCCCCGGGTCCTTTTTGCAGGGCAAGTTTGTTGGTGAACGGGGTGGGGAGTGGAAGGGTGATATGCGATGCAAATTGCCTCTCAGAGAAGGGGGGGAACTTAAGAAAGCAGGGAAATTTATGCAAAAATGAAAGGAAGGATGGATGTGAGTCTTTTTTCCCACGCTTGAAAGACCCATATTTTATGAGTATTATAATGTGCCACCCATTTCCTTATCATTTTTCATGTTATTGATTAGATTTTAAACAACAGCAATTAGATATTTATAATAACGTTGATATGAGGAGAAATATGAAATACGAGGGTGGCAATCACATTATTTTTATTATTTACTAACACGGGTCATACAGAATCTCAATAGCCTGTCCAATAGGGTGTGTCAATTTTGTCAACATGTTAAAAATCAAATTTGGTAGTCAAAATATTGTGCCTCTTTATGTCTAAACTTGAGATTAGCAAACAAAAATGAATTGAAATAACCCTCACCTACATCAATTATACCTTAAAGTTTCAAATATCAGTATTTCAACAAATTAATGAGACTTGATTAGAATTATTCACTTGATATTAACTAATCTCATGTAAGCATATGGATTATGGAGTATTTTATGGTTCTATAGCTTGTGTACAATATGCATGTCAGAACATGAACATGAACAGGCTCTCCGTGTGGGACAGTTTAATTCTTGTTTTGACTTGTACCAAGCGTGAGGATAAGGCGCCCGGCTCACTCTCCTTCTAGATATCATAGACGGTGGTTTGCTCTCATTGCACTTGCACCTACTCTACCAGACGAATTCTACATTTTAATTATTGTAAGTAGGGCATATTGATTGTCGCAGTTACTTATATCATTGTATAAAACATTATGTTCTAAGAAATTATTATGTTATTTCTGTTACAGCATTTTTGATAAACAAATTGATATTTTTTGAAACAACAATTGAATTATGAAACATTGAAATATTTTTCTATTTGTCAGATAGTGTGAAGATGTCAAAATTGAAGACAAGAAGTCAGTTGTCAACCCACTTGAGCCTGCTAGTTGGTAAAGGGAAGGAGCTTCCTGTATCAGAACTTCCAACAGTGAGAGACATGCTAAGATTAGGGTTACTCCTTCGAGAAAAAAATGCAAAGGACAGAAGGAACTATACAGATAAAGAACTCATAAATGACATGATAGTCCCTCTTCTGCATCAATGGACAAAAGCTAATGCACTATTCAAACCACCTGTGATTAATCAGTGTCGAACTATTGAGCTAAAACTAACGAAATTATGGCACAAAGCAGTTGAAACATCACTTGGTAAAGGAAACTTGGCCAGGAAAAATGAATTTCTGCACACACTTGATACTCTGTTTGACATTTTGACCTGCAAGTGCTCCATACAATTATGTTCTGAATCCAACTGTTCTCACTCAGGTAAGAGAGAAAATAATTCCCACATTGATTGTGGTTGTCCTCGTGAAAAGAAGATCCCTGTTTTAGAGCTTGAATTTATAAAGGCACAGAGGACAAAGGCAGAAGGCCAAGGAAGTATGCAAATGGGTTCAATAGATTATTCAGAAACAAAGAAGCAGATTGCTAATGCCAAGAAGAGAGAACAAATCCGAGAGAGGGAACAAAAGAAGAAAATGAAGAGTGAAGAAGCCATCCAAAGAGAGGAAGAGCTGTGTCAAGATGTTTATCACTTCTTTGATAGTTCTTCTGATGAACAGGAAGCAACATCAGATGATAGTTCCAAAGAGCCATCTGAACCTTTACCAAAGAAAATGAAATACAACACAAGAAATATTTCAAACATTGCTTTAGCTAGTATTCGCCACCATGCTGGACTTCGTGAGGCTGCAGAAATTGCAACTGCCGCTTGGATAGATGCAGGCCTCATCAGCCGAGAGGATGTATCTTTGGTGATAGATCATAATAAAATTAGAAGAGCACAAGAAAAAATAATGAAGGAAATATCTGATCAGCATGAAAAAGATTTAAGCGAGGGAGGGCTCTCCTGTCTTTTGTTTGATGGAAGAATAGATGACACAAAAGTTTTGCTAGAAGTAGAGGGAGTGAACAGAAAGTTTCCAGGTCTCATCAAAGAAGAACACTACTCTGTCTGTTCTGAGCCTGGTGGTCGGTTTTTGTTTCACTTTGCTCCCGAAACTGAAGTAGAAGGGAAGAAACATGCAGAGGTCATTGCTGATCATATTTTATGTTGGGTTCAGGAGAGAGGACTTGGCAGTTCACTGCAGGCTGTTGGTGGAGATTCAACTGCAGTGAACACCGGATGGCAGGGGGGTGTAATGACGCATTTAGAGAAAAAACTAGGAAGAAGACTTGTTTGGATTGTATGTGATTTACATACAGGCGAGCTACCTCTTTGTCATCTCATCCAGGAACTTGATGGTCCTACAAAGAGCAACAACAAGTGGTCAGGTCCCCTTGGCATCATGCTGGATGAAGCAACACAACTAGAAATAAATACAACCTTTCCAAAGGTCGAAGTTGGCCCTCCCCTTCCGGCGTTGTCTGAAGGAGTCATCAAAGATCTCAGCACAGATCAATCCTATGCTTATCGTATTGCCCAAGCAATAAGATCAGGAGAAGTGCCTCAGTCATTGGCTCTCTTGGAGATTGGACCTGTCAGTCACAGCCGTTGGTTAACTACAGCTCTTCGTTTCTGCAGGATTTGGATTTCCAAACACGAATTGAAGGGCAAAGTGCTGAAGAATTTGAGGTTAATTGTTGAATTTATTATTGGAGTTTATCTTCCCCAGTGGTTTAGTGTGAAACTTAATCCTATGTGGGTGGATGGGCCCAATCACCTTTTGTTTCAATTGCAGCTAGTAAGAACACAGAGGAAGGTAGTGAGGGACATCGTGTTACCTGTGGCAAGAAGGTCCGCTTGGTATGCTCGATCAGAAGCAGTTTTGCAAGCAATGCTTTGCAGTCAATGTACCAATCTCCGAACCGAGGCTGTAGAAGTCATTCTAAAGATTAGAGGAACGCTAATAGATGACGACCAGTTGGGAGACTGTTCGTTTCATTCAAGAAAAGTTCCCCCAATAAACGTCAATGCCACCAAATTGTCAGAATTGGTTGACTTGAGTTTGGAAGTCTTAGAGCCACCATTGACAACAAGTCTAACTAGCCAAGAATTGAGAAACCTTAAAGAGACTCCAATGCAGGTGCCGAAGTGGCCTTCCCACACTCAAAGTGTGGAGAGATGTGTGAAAATGGTCACAGAAGCAGCGGGCCATGTTTACAGCCACGAGAGGCGAGAAGGTTACATCAAAGCACAAATAGCAAGCAGACTACTGATGACAAGAAACCAAAGCAAAGAGAGTATGAAGGCATTGGTTACTTTCAAATAGACTACGGATAATAAAATATAATAATTTGAAACTTGAAACAGTAACATCTGTGCAAACGCTGGTTATGTTATAAATTCACAAATATGTACATTTAAAAATCCATTTGATGTAGGTAGGACTTATTATAAAAAAAAATTTATGCCAGAATATTGTTTTGCATGCTTAAAGACTACAATAAATTGCTACCAAATTACTCGATTTTCAATTTAGCCAGTTCACCCCCTAAATTGACACACCCTACTGGGTGGGCATGTTAAAATTCCTAATGGTAGCCAGGCGGTCAATACTAGATTTATAACTATATCAGCCTAAGTGAAAGTCCACAAACTCACGTTTTGCAAAACTTGAACTTCTCTGGCTTGAGTGTTCTCACAACTCCAGGAAATCATATACGTGCCAAAATGCCTCCTCCATAATGGTGTCATGGAGAAGCGCATCTATATCTTACTTAAACTTCCTAGGTACAGTCGCCACAAAAAGTTTTCGAACGCTTTAAGGATCATACAACTTGACAAAACGAGCGAGAAATCCGAGAAAGTTTTATGGCAAACAAATTACTTCTCTTCACGAAATGTTGATCGTCACTTCGCAACTAGGCATACCAATCATTCTGAGATGACACGAGTCATCTTGAAATCTATTTTGCCCAACTGTTCGAGAACTTTCTGTGGTGAGTGTACATCCTGGATGGCGTCGTCAAACCTTTTCGTGTAGGTATCTAAGGCATAAAAGTGGCCCATGGGGTCCTGCAATA